CAGCCCACACCGCTCCACACCGAGACCTGGGACCAGTTCCCTCTCTCACCTAGCTTGTAACCCCCTACTACAAGCACTTCGGTGCAAGGAATACAAGATCGATCTCTCAGACTGGACGTAGGGCACCAATTGCCTGAACTAGTATAAACCTTGTGTCTCTTTGCATCACCATCCGGGATTAGGGGCACGTAGTTCACATTCACTAGTTGGTTGAGGACCCCCCGGTCCGAAACACCGACAGTTGGCGCACCAGGTAGGGGCCGCTGCATGTAAGCTTAATCATCCCAACAAGTCCCGGATGGCATACCCCATACAACCACTACATCTCGGCACGATGATCTGGTTCGGGAACCTAGAGTTCATGTCTCTAGGATACGAGTACGACATGGTACTCCTCCCACCCAGAGCCCCGTCAACCGACGACGACATCACGCACCAGCAGCCCAGGCGCGGGCGGCGCCCGGGCCGCCGCTCTCGTCGCGCTCGCCAGGCGCAACGTGAGCGGAACCACCCCGACGCCGCTCGACCTCAGGGCGACGCGCCGTGCTCCACCGGTATCCCATGCTCGGCTGTTGGTACAAGGTCCCTGGTTGGGGACCTGTCTAGCCTAAGCTTGGGCAGAGGAAAGACACCAGTGACGCGCAGCGATGCCCCGTCATCAAGCTCTGCCCCGCCACCTCCTGAGGAGCCGAGTTCTTTCATCACCCCATTCGACATGTATAGCTATGTGACTATGCCATTCGGTCTTAGAAACGCAGGGGCCACGTACCAGCGGTGCACCACCCAGGTCTTTGGCGAGCACGTCGGGCGAACCGTCGAGGCCGACGTGGACAACATCGAGGACAAGTCCAGGAAGGCCAGTGACCTCGTCCACGACTTGGAAGTTGGTTGCCCGCCCAAGTACTAAAGCCTGGGACCTACAAGCTGGCCTACGAGAAGGGCAAAATCCTCACCAACACTTGGAACATAGAACAGATACATCGCTTCTACCCTTAAATTCCCAAGCGTCATACAATTTTCCTCGAAATACAATAAAGAAGCGTTCTTTAATTGTTCTAAATTTTCGAGGAACCCCCCGAGCCCATCGGTACGGGTTCGGCGTTACGATAACGCTAGGGGGAGACTCGACTCTGCCTCTGCAGAACCGAGCCTCCCTCGGGAGCTAGGGGGGACCTCTCCCCCAAATTCCAAACTCTGTCACAAACTCTGACAAATCGATTGCAAAAACCTAAGGACTGAAAGTTCGCCTCGAGGCCAAAAGGCCGGCCGAGCCGTGAGACAGCCTACGCCTCTGGGCTACGGCAACTCCCTCACCACCTTTTGCCCGAGGGGTAGCTTAGGCTCCAAGGAAGTTTTTGCAAAGGACTTGTCTAAAAACGAGACAGGGGGACACCGTTTTTTAGTCGTCTTTTCGAAAAATTCCTACGCCAAACTCTCTCGCATACTCTGACAAATCAATTGTAAAAACCTAAAGACTGAAAGTATGCCTCGAGGCCAAAAGGCCAGCCAAGCCGCGAGACTGCCTACACCTCTGGGCTACGGCAACTCCCTCACCACCTTTCGCTAGAGGGGCAGCTTGGGCTCCGAGGAAGTTTTTTGCAAGTGATATGTTCAGAAACGGAGCAGAGGGCAAGGGCTGGGAAACATAATAGAAAACGATTAAAAAACATATATACACAAGTACTGAAAAGGCCTCGACGGCCACAAATGTTATGGTACAATGAAGTACGTCCTAATCTATTACATGATCCCTTTGGCCCAGGTCAGAATACGGGGTCGCCAGCGTCGTCGGACGGCGTAGGAGGAGCAACCTCCTCTTCGAACAGCCGGGCCAGCGCCGTGCCAGGGGCCTCAGCTGCCTCCACCAAGCTTCATCACCTCCTCATCGGCCTTCTCATCGTCCTCTGCCACGACGTAAATCGTGTCTGAGACCGGCAGGGAGGTCTCTGAATAGGATCCCACCGTAGGGAGGCATCGAGCCCCTGGGGGCAATCGAACGGCCCTAGGACCCACTGGAGAAGCCCTCCAGTACCTTTGGAGTGCGTCTCTGGACCGCTAGCCGACCCCTACCGAATGGAGCACGAGCCTCCACTCGGACCTACCCGATAGCAGCTCACCGGAGATGTCACTACTCGCGCCCACCGAGGGTAGCTTGGCATGCTCCACCCCTCCTTCCGAGCGAAAAGGATGCGTGAGGGTCGCCAAAAAAGACAGGGAAACCACTGATCGCCCTCTCGCTCCGTGCAGAGGCTCGGGGGCTCTTCCTACAACTAGGCCAAGTCCCAGCGACTCGAACTCGCACTCATGGGCCCGGCAAACGTGATGAAATTCCTCGCTCAACAGGGATAAAGCCCCTGGAGGACTGAATCCACTCCTCCAGGGCCTCGGGGGCTACACCCGGCGGGTGCGCTCGCGCGCACCCACCGGAACATCAAAAAATAAAACACAATCCCGATGGGAGCAGCTGCAAGCCAAGTCTCGACAAACCCTCAGGGAGAGTGCTCGCACTCCCCCCGAGGCTCGGGGGCTACTGTCGGATACCATAAAAAGGGGTACCCTAAGCAAGAACCGAAAAAAGTCGTTAGGCCTCACTTATATCAATTCCAAAGGACGATCACAGGGTCTCGCCCGATTCTCCGACTCGCCCGAGGCCCGCGCCGCACCAACTCTCCCTCTCGCCGAGGCCATCTCGCCCGAGGCCCCGCACCACGAGGCCTCGACCGGGTTACCGATTCCCCGATTCGCCCCGCCGAGGCCATCTCGCCGAGGCCATCCCTCTGGCAGGCTGTCCCATCCATTTAATGCGCCAGAATGCACCCGCTACGTTAGCCACGACCGGCAGGGTACAGCAACAGGAGCGATGGGACAACGGTCAAATCTCCTTTTTACCATCCCTTACTGACGGTGCAGGGGTTACCATGCCCTGCGGACACACGCCCTGCACTTTTCCACCTAAACCGGGTACGACGCTGACCACCGAGGCCCCCGCATCATACTCAGGTCACCTCCCGGGCCTCGGCAAATCAAGCCTCGGCGCGGTCAGCCACAAACACCCGCCAGGCCTCGGCCCTCCACCAAATCAAAAATCCACAAGGCACGGCATGTCACCTACAGTGGAGGTCATGCTGTCTAAATGTCAACGAGGACTCCTACGACTTCAACAGCCTCGGCATGGTCGGCGTGACGCACCAGTGATCAAGTACCAATTGCCATTCTTGACACTGTGCTGCTATAAGAATAGGCCACAGTACTAGATCTTCCTTCCTCACTAAGGCTCCACGTGTAGCTCTCTTATGTACTCCTGGCTCCCTCCTTGCGGCTATAAAAGGAAGCAGCCAAGGCCGTTTCTAAGGGGGGAGGCACTCACGAGTTCACCAAGATAGGCTCACGTAGACACACACTCTCCCCAGTTGTCTGAGAGCAACGTCTCAAGCAGCCCACACCGCTCCACGCCGAGACCTGGGACCAGTTCCCTCTCTCACCCAACTCGTAACCCCCTACTACAAGCACTTCGGTGCAAGGAATACAAGATCAATCTCTTAGACTGGACGTAGGGCACCAATTGCCTGAATCAGTATAAACCTTGTGTCTCTTTGCATCACCATCCGGGATTAAGGGCACGCAGTTCACATTCACTAGTTGGTTGAGCACCCCCGGTCCGAAACACCGACACTAAACTACTGTAGGAAATTATTTGTGTATCGGCCTGAGCTGCGAGCATCTGCACACTCCGTTCCATTGGAGAGCACACAGAGCAACAAACCAACAACTACGTAGTACGGAGCATACTAGAATCCCTATAACTAAAACATTCATAATTATTCCGTCCACACATGCGACATCAAAGCTCTCCACAAAATAGAAGGAAGGTAATCACCGTCGTCGGACGCCCGCTAATCTCTCTGTCACTCCATCACGCGCACGTACATACCCACGCCAACGTACAGACCCAGGCTCCAAACGTAAAAAAGGAAATCAAATCAGAAAAAGAAAACCGCGCTCCAAACAAAATCCGATACGTGCACCAGACCACGTGCAAAAAGATGACGTTCACTAATTAATTCCAGTATGTTTTCGCAAAAAAAAAATTCTAGAATGTATGTGATAACTTTGGAGGTGAAAGTGATGCTGAAATTTTTCTGCTCCCCTCCTATCTGAATCCGAATTTTGAAGACATAGAGAATTCTTTTAATATACATACGGATACAAATAATCTGAATCAGGTTGTGTGCAGATGCGGGGTGATAACTTTGGAGGTGAAAGTGATGCTGCAAATTTTCTGCTCCCCTCCTATCTGTATCCGAATTTTGAAGACATAGAGAATTCTTTTAATATACATACGGATACAAATAATCTGAATCAGGTTGTGTGTGGATGCGGAATAAGATATGCAGCTGGCAAAATTAAGTGGATACGGATTATCCGAAGTTTCAAATAGGATATCCAAAAATTTTCCTCCTAAACTAAAACCTAGAGGAATTCAGATTTTAAAAATACTTGGCGTCGAAGTGTTTGACTCCATCACCCCATTAGCGATTTTTGTAAAAAACCATATTAAGTGTTAATTGTGTCGTTGGTCACTTGGCCGTAGGCGTGACAAAAATTCTTGGCCTCGCAACGCACGGGCATATCTATATCTATATAACTAAAAAAATAGTGTTATCGCCATTGTCGCCACGCCCCGCTCGACCCACTTGCGCCGATGACATCACCCCGCTCGCTCGATCCGGATTTATTAATTTCTTAAAACAATGAAATCCATCGTAATAAGCTTAGGCAAAAATTTGTGCTGCCGTGCAACGCACGGGCATTATAGTGCTTTTAAAATATAAATTTTCCATCACAAAAGGACAAACACAACGTGCCCGTGGCGATCGCATCCACCCACCTCCACTCCGCTCCGCTGTCAGGCGGAGGCGGCAGCGACATCCTGCTGAGCTGCAGCGGGAGAGGCGTCCATCAATCACGATTCACACAACGCCGGCCCGTGTGCCATGGCCATGCCGCCGCCGCCGCCGCGGTCGCTCCGCGTCGCCGTCATCGGCGCGGGAGCCGCGGGGCTGGCCGCCGCGCGCGAGCTGCGGCGCGAGGGCCACGCGCCCGTCGTGTTCGAGCGCGCCCACGCAGTCGGGGGCACCTGGCTGTACGACGACCGACAGCGCCACTCCAGCAGCAGCATGTACGCGTCCCTGCGCACCAACCTGCCACGCGAGGTCATGGGCTTCCTCGACTTCCCCTTCGCCGCCGCCCCGGACTCCGTCGACGCGCGCAGGTTCCCTCGCCACCAGGAGGTGCTGCGCTACATCCAGGCCTTCGTGCGCCGCTTCCACCTTCACGGCCTGGTCCGCCTCCGCACGGAGGTGCTCGCCGTCACCAAGGACGACGACGAGGGGAGCAGCAACAGCGGCAGCTGGAGGGTGAGGTGGTGCCGGAACGCAGCCGCCGGTGACGAGGAGGAGCAGGAGCAGGAGGAGGCGTTCGATGCCGTCGTGGTCTGCAACGGCCACTACACGGAGCCGCGAACCGCCGCCGACATCCCCGGCCTGGACGCCTGGCCGCCGGGCAAGCAGATGCACAGCCACAGCTACCGCGTGCCGGGCCCGTTCGCGGACCAGGTGGTGGTCATAGTCGGAGCCAGCAACAGCGGCGCCGACATCTCCAGGGAAATCGCCGGAGTGGCCAGGGAGGTACACGTGGCCGACAGATCGGCGCCCGCCGACACCTGCCGTAGGCTCCCCGGCTACCGCAACCTCTGGCTCCGCTCCATGGTGGAGCGCGCCGACGCGGATGGCACCACCGTCGTGTTCCGAGACGGCAGCTCCGTCAGAGCGGACGTCGTTATGCACTGCACCGGCTACAAGTACAGCTTCCCCTTCCTCCTTACGACGACGGCGGGGGTGGACGAGGGCGAGGATACCCCCGGTTCCACCGTCGTCTCCGTCGATGACAACCGCATCCACCCGCTGTACAAGCACGTGTTCGTGCCTCAGCTGGCTCCTCACCTCGCCTTCATCGGCCTGCCCTTCAAGGTGATCCCTTTCCCGATGTTCCAGCTCCAGGCCAGCTGGGTCGCCGGCGCTCTGTCGGGCCGGATCCAGCTCCCGTCGGAGGAGGAGATGATGGAAGACGTGAGGACGCTCTACACGGAGCTGGAGGCCGTGGGATGGCCCGTCAGGTACACGCACTGCATGAAGCACAGCCAATTCGAGTACGACGAGTGGCTGGCGGAGCAGTGCGGCGGGCACGCCGGCAGAGTGGAGGAGTGGAGGAAGGACATGTTCGACGCCGACAGGAAAAAGAAGGTGGAGTGCCCGGAGACGTACCGAGACGACTGGGACGATCACCATTTGCTGGAACAAGCGTACCGAGACTTCAACAAATACTCGTAATTGGCATTTCTTTTTTCTTGTGATTGGAATTTGGAAGCATAACAAACAATTCAGACTTGAACAAATACTCGTAATTAGCATTTCTTGTAATTGTAATTGGAATTTGGAAGCAGAACAAACCATTATTGCTTGCATTTGCATATACTCCTACTATAAGCTAGGGATCTGTGTAAATTTTGCATTTGCATATGAAAGACAATGATGTAAACCGTGAAAGGTACTTCAGCTTGTTTCCTTTTCTTTTCTTCTATAAAAGATTAATTTCAGGGCAGGGCAAAAATGATCTTTGAAATCAATCAAAGACAATTATGAAAAGATTAATTTCAGTGCAAGGTAAAAAGATTAATTTCAGGGCAGGGCATCTTTAAAATCAATCAAAGACAATTATGAAAACAATATGTGCACCAGCCGGGAATCGAACCCGGGTCTGTACCGTGGCAGGGTACTATTCTACCACTAGACCACTGGTGCCCTTGATGCTAAGTTTGCATGCTACGTTCTAAGACTAATACGTATAGCAGACAATGGCAAAACTCATCGCCAGCTGCATCACGATGAACATCTGAACATATATATGCAGGTTTTGTGCCTACATTATCCAAGTTCTGTACACCGTTCAGGCTTCTTTCAATTTGTTGGATCAAATCTAATGTGCAATAATAGAAAAAATCAAGGTGTTTGATATTTTTTTTTAATCGAGCGAACCCATTTTCATTACCGCATAACGGAAATACAGACAGATATAAGGAAGAAAGGGAAAGTACATTTCAGACAGACATTTCGTCCACTGCATCCAAATATTTATACGACCCTATCTCCGAGGGAGTGTGTATGAGGAATAACCAACAGAACACTAGTAGGAGTATCTTATTACAGGCCCAACAAAAGAGCACTTCCGAAACTCCAAGGTTTTGACTTGCTCAACTTTGTGAGGCTTCATCCTTGAGGATGCCTGCCTTTATCCTCCTCTTCGATTCGATCCGGCGCCATAGAGATCATCAATGCCGTCGCCGTCTTCAGCATGTAATGTGTTGGCCGTTGGCGCATTCAGATTTCAGAATCGCGATCAAATCTTGCTTTGTTGCCTGCAATGCAGAGAGTGCCTGCCTTTGTTGGAGTAGAGTACAAATTAAAATCAAATCTTTGTTATTACAAGAAGAAGAATCGAGGGTAGTTGAATGAATGTTTGGTGGTTGCACTCATAATCTGCATGAATCTGTTGGTGTTGTGTTGGCTCAACTCAAATGAAATGAGCACTACTTACTAGCACTCTGCTGCAGTCTGCACTAAGCCACTAGTACTGCAGTCTACTACGTCCGTCCGTCCGAATCGTCGTCGTCGTCCTGCAGCTCGTAGATGGCGTCCGGGTGTCCGCTCTCCAGCGCGCTCACCCGCCTCCGTATCCTCCTCAGGACGCCCTCCACGGCGAGGTCGACGGCGTCCTTGGTGGCCTCCCTCAGGTCCGCCGCGCTCCCGTGCCGCCGGTACACCACCCTGGGCGCCATCTCCAGCACGCGCTCCCGCATCCTGGCGACCTTGTCCTCGGGCACCGCCGCCAGCACGTCGGCGATCCTGACGTCCCCCATCACCACCGACTCCTTGGGTATGGTGACGGAGAACTGGTCGTACCTCCCGCGGGGCAGGTGCCAGCCGTAGTGCATCCTGGCGGCGGCGTGCTCGAAGAAGACCGGGATGCATCCGGCGACGATGGCGTCGAACGTAGAGCGGCGGGACGGCGAGTCCCCGGGCGGCTGCAGGCAGAAGTTAGCGTTGAGCATGGGCCGCATGTACGCCACGGGGTTGAGCCCGCACGCGGCGGCGGAGCAGTCGACGACGGTGCACACAGCCGACGTGCGGTTGGCGCACTCGGCGAGGATGGCGCCCCGGATGTTGAGCCTGGACGGCCTGGAGACGCCGCCGGCGTAGAGCATGAGCGCGGTGCGACGGGAGCGGCGCGCGCGGGCGATCCAGGACCGGAGGCGCGGCAGCGAGGACGGGTGGAAGGAGGTCGGGTGCGGGATGGCGTGCTCCTGCCAGGGCCAGGCGCGCGACTCCAGCGTGAGGACCGTGAAGTTGGCGAGCTCGGGGAGGCGGAGCAGCGACGTGGTGCCGTACCACCGGGGGTCGGCGTCATGCGGCTGCGAGTAGTCCCAGGCGGTGCCGGCGAGGAGGAAGAAGTGGTCGTGGCCGTGGCGGCGCGCCAGGACCCGCGGCTGGTGGCGCGCCAGGAAGCGCGCGAGCGGCAGCCCGTGGAGCGCCGACGAGTTGAGGAGGTCCGGGTGGAGGACGTAGGGCAGCGCGTCCAGCGCCGCGTAGTAGGGGAGGAACACGGCGTCGGCCTGGGCGGGGCGGGCCGCGAGGCAGTCGTGCTCCAGGAGGCGGCGGTGGAAGAAGGGCTCCAGGAGCCGGGCGTCCGTGCGGTACCAGGAGCGGGTGCCGTTGTGGGTGCGCGGGCCCAGGCCGTGGTTGGCCAGGGAGGTGCACGCCGGGACTGACTTTGAGTCTGGGTCCGCCAGCGGGAACGCCGTGGCGCAGTAGAGGAGGAGGTGCGTGTTGAAGCTCGCGGGGAGGCGCCGGATGTGGATGCGGCGGCCGGCGCAAGGGTCTGGGCCGTCTGGCACTGGCAGTGGCAGGCTGTTGTTCTTGTTCTTGTTCTGGCTGGTGGAGGAGGCAATAATGACGGCGGAGCAGAGGATGACGACGAGGAGGAGGAGGCGCGCCGCCATTGTCGACCAATTCCCTCTGCGGGTGAGGGTGATGCGCTTGCGCGGTGGGGAGGAATGGCCGCCACGCCATGCCCAAGTTGCCTAGTCCAAGGAGGAAAGCACCATGCACAACACTGACCACAGCACACGTCTCGGTGGATCTGGGCCGCCACGGCAGTTACACACACATACAATAGTTAGGAGTAGTTTGTTAGTCATGGGCATGGCGCCAACCACGACAAAAAGCATCGCCTTTCTTTGCCAGCTGTTTTTTTGAACCTATATCAATTTATTTAGGTTGCGTTTGATGGATATCCTTGTTCTTGTAAAATTGTCTCAAATTCACATTCCCATGTGAATGTTTTCAATGATGATTTAGCCGGTTGGTTAGATTTTGATTTTCAAATAAATTGTTTTTTTACTAAAAAAACATGTAAATAAAAATATGATTAGAAAAATCTAGAACTTCTTATAGGTTCAGATTCAGATCAACTTAAATACCATAGCCGGAAAAAATATGGTCTCTAGTACCAAACGTTGCTAATGTGTGTTTGGCAGCTATTCTTGTCCAGAATCGGAACACTTTCCAAACAGGGAAACAGCCCAGTATCATATATATTCATTCGATTCGATCAGGCCCAACCCAGCCCAATGAGAATGACGGACCTCCGATCGCCTCTTCGGTCTCCTCTACATCCTCACTGCATCTGCCTATCAAACAGCGCATACGAGAGATTGCAAGGTTACAACCGGCCTTCCCCTTGAAATATAAGGTTATGTTTGGATGCGAGAACGAGGAGGGATGGAATGGGACGGCCCGGGACGAGGACTGTTTGGTTCGGAGGCAAGCGGGGGTGAGGATGTCTCACGAGCGAATATTCGCTCAAGATCCGGGCTCGGTTCGCCCCTGAAAAAAGCGGACGTGGACATCCTCGGTGGGACGAGTGTTGCACGGTCCGCACGCGCATGTGACAAGAACGAGAGGAGGAGCGGAGGCTTGCCGCATTTGAGGAAGTAGGAAGAAGCAGGGACTCACCGGAGTTGCCAGAGTCGAGGAAGAAGCGCTCGGGCTCCACGGATGTCCTCCGCCGTGGGGGCGGCTCTGCGTCCGGACCCGGCAACCTCCGCCCTCGGCCCCGGGGAACCAGCGAGATTAGCCACTAGACCCCTCCTAGGACAGGCGAGGCGGCGCACGGCAGCGCTCATGGCGGAGGACGCGGGGTGCCCGAGTCCACTGTTGGGGACGAAAGAGATAAGGCAGCTCGCGATGGTGAAGAAAAAGAAAAAAAACTGACGAGTAGGCCCCACCTGTCAGTGGGTGATCCTACTTTTGATGTCTCTAGACCAAGCAAAAATGGGTTGGTCGCATCCCTCTTCAACCAAATAGAAATTGAAGTCGTACTGACCAAGAAAAACCAGAGATGGAACCGTCCCACCTCATCTTAACTCCCAACCAAACGCTACCTAAGGTATCCAATTTTCGATTTATATTTTCGTAGCTAGCCTGTATTTCAGTACGTATATTGGCTTGGCTGCAAAAGAGACCGGCGAATTTAGACCGGTTAAAAAACCTTCCTTGTTGGTAACCTAGAAAATAGTGATAGGGTTGTCTTGGTGAGGTCAAAGAAAAGAACATAAATTTGCCCATTTATGACTGTGTTATTTGCAGTCACGGATGGTTCTGAAATATATATACTCTCATTAGAAGTGAATTTAACCCAAAAAAAATAGTGACCGGGCTGTCTTCTATCTTAATAGCAATCTTACCATATGAATCTTGCTACCAAAAGAGGGCCAGATAGCGTGGCCACGTCGGCCGCTTTTCTCGGCCATCGGATCGGCCGCGCGGACATCCCAGATCGTGCAAGCCCCGGTCTTTTTGCAAAAAAACCTCAAACTTTAGTCGAATCAACCCTCAGTCCAGGCCTCCTCTCAGTTTTTTTTTTCAAAAAACCCTCGAACTTTACCGAAATCAACCCTCAATCCAAGCCTTTTAAATGGGCCGGCCTGCCTCCCGCTCGCGCCTGTATATCACAAACCTAGGCCTTACTGGGGCGAACTTATTATTTATCTAAAACGGTTGAAATTTTGTAAAGAACATAATAAAACAAATAAAAATAAAAAAATACCAAACCAAGTTTGTTGAACTCTACACAACTAGCACTACACTGTAAACACATAACATCACATGTTTTAGTGTAATTTTTTGCTATTAATGTGGATCTAGAGTTTTCTATAAATAATTAATAGAGTTAGTTTCTTTATTCCCTATGAAATTTTTACTGTAGCTTACCCATTCCACGCATAAAATAAAACGATTGAGTGATTTTACCGGCTTTTAGATCCTAAACCTGAGCCAAGCTCTACCACGTCATTGGGCCACATCATCTTCAAATCGTAGACGTTGGATTAGATCTCAACGGTATATATTCAATGGCCTGACTAACCAGAAGGAGCCACTTCTGGAAAATACCAGGACTGTCTCTCCAGCTTCCCATCTCCTTCAGTTGAGTTCTCCGGCACGTCTCTCCATCAATAAAATAAGCACGTCTCTCCATCTAGAGATTATCCTGCTGCAGAGATCCAAAGAAAAATCGTGCCCTGCTGTGTCAACTCGCCGGTGGGCTGTGGCGTGCGGCCAGCCCGACCTCGCTGTGCTGCCCGAGAGAATTCACGAGCTTTCAGAAAGCATACGCGAGCGCCGAGTCGGAGCAATCTCCGCCTACTCAGCCCACGACTCATTTTAAGCGCCGCCGGGTTTCTTCCCTTACCCTGAACCGCGCAGAAGCTCATATTCATGTTTTGACTTCAAATTAAGTAAATCTCAAAATAAAAATGTTTACACTGGATTGGACTTCTACGCAACTAAGTGTTTGTTTAGTTTCTAAAATTTTGCAAATTTTTTCAAAATTCCTCGTCACATCAAATCTTTGGACGCATGCATGAAGCATTAAATATAAATAAAAAATAAAACTAATTACACAGTTTAGACGAAATTCACAAGACGAATCTTTTAAACCTAATTAGACTATAATTAAACACTAATTACCAAATAACAACGAAAATGCTACCATACTATTTTTCAAAAAATTTCTCCAACTAAACCAGGCCTGATAGCAGCTCCATAACGCTGGCACCTACTGGCCCGCGCGGTTGTTTTCTAGTGTGCTGATGAGGTCAAAGAAAAAAACATGAATTTGCCTGCTTATGGCTGTGTTATTTGAAGGTTCTGAATATATATGGCGAAATGCTTCGAGGCCTCAGGTGGATTGCTAGATGATCCTTTCCTCATGCTTCGATCTTTTGACATTCAACCATGCCTTTTTTTGGAAAACATCTTACTGGCTAGCGTGATCAGCTATAGCCCCGTTCGGCTTATCAGAAATCAATTTATTCAGCTTATTTTTTAGTCGAAACAATATTTTTTTCTCGTAATAATTTAGCTAAAACAATATTTTTTTAGCCAGCGTTAATCAAAATTTCAGCAAACCGAACAGGGCTGTAGGTGAGGAATATATAACTTCATTTTTAATCATGCAACTAAAACTACATATTGCAGTACTGGTTCACCTACTTGAATTTGCCATGCTTCTGATATACCAAAGAAGACGTATCTCTCGGTTTCTATGTTTTTCCTTCGTATGAATCCCTTTTTTTTTCTTAGTATATAGCCAAAGCCCATTCTGTTTATAAAAAGAAGTGGACACAAGGCAAACAGCGAGGAAAGGGACAGAAGAGATTTCCAGTACAAGAGAAACCTTTATCATGAAATTCGGAACAAAGCATCCACAGACCTGAATTAGACGCTACACAAGCTTAAGACCAAGCCTCAGGTTCTTTCCCAAATCACCCATGAAGTTCTTGGAGGCTGGCTGCTAACCAACATAAGCAGTATGCACTACCTACCACGGACGACTCGACTCGACTATCCAAGTTTCAGCAGCTACAAACCTAAAGCTAACCGACCGCATCCATCATTTACCAACACCTTCTGCAGAGGATTCTTCTGTATTTTACTTCTTGGCACTCTCCCTCCACTCTCCAGAAGATGACAGATCCGGGCACAACTATCGCTTTGATGGTGGCCTTCCATCGTCATCGCCATCGCCATCGCCATCGTCGTCCCCGTCACCATCGTCATCGCCTGACCTCTTCCTCTTCGTAGAGGACTGTGCCTTCACAGAATCCTCACCATCATCAGCATCATCTTCGTCAATCTCCTCATCCTCAGCACCATCACCATTTTCTTCCGGTTCAAAGTCACTTGAGTGTTCTTCGTCTTCAGCCCGGCCAAGGGGCTGAACCAGATACTCAGTTCCCAGCTCCTCCTGCAAAATCAAAATTCCAACAAGCAGTGTAAGCGCCATAGTACATATCAAAGTAAATCAGGTCCAATCAGCTTCGCCTTTCCTTTCATAAAGCCAGTTCAATCAAATCAGATCCAAAAAGGACCAGTCAAGTAAGTTTATGGGATCAGACTGACGTGCAAATTTTCATCATATCAGTACACACATAAATCCATTAAAAGGATATCTGAAATAAGGTGTTCGTCACTTCCCAAATACAGCCTCAAGGATTTACAATACAGAAAGGCAGTAATTTCCGAAGGATAGATCAATCAACCAAAGAAAGATATGAAATGAAACAACTAGATCCAACAAAAGATGAAGATCTGGCATGGGATCAGACTGACGTGCAAGGTATAATCAAGAGGTGGATAACAAATCATCTAGCCTCAGTGGAATAGGTTGTCGTCATTTCCCAACTAAAGCGATAAGATGCCAAACTCTTTGAGCACAGATTCTAAAGCATCGGATAACTACCTTTTTGCATTTGAACAGGAATTGAAGCCACTAGGTGTGTTTTTTTTAAAAAAAAAGCAAGAATCCGGAGCAAGTGCTTTTGATCAGAACGGCAAATCAGTTTTTTTTTATTATTATTATTATTTTTTTTTTTGCGGCACTGGGAGAGCTCTTGGCTCATCCTCAGAAACAGCCTCTGATATGAATCATCATCTCTAAAAGCTGACAAGCTGCAAGAAAACGTTATCATAATTTTCAGTTGTTTAGATTAACCAAAAACAAACAATAATAAAGATGAAACAAAAAGATTCTTGGATCCCCTGTGAGAAACAGTCCGCACAAATCGCTCCATTTATAAGTACGCAACATGTGCTTTGGATCATGACGGCAATCAGTTCTTTTGCAGGACAGGGAGAGCTCTTGGCTCGCCTCAGAAACAGCCTCTGATAACAATCATCATCTCCAAAAAGCACATCAAATTTTTCAGATAAAATTTATAGGAAAATTGGAAGACTTGCTAATTTTTGCAGCGGGTAAAAGTTCCAGGGAAAAACAGACCGAGAACATTGCTCACTTTTGCAGCGGGTAGAGTTTACAGGGACCTAAAGGTGATTTTTGACAAGCAAACAGACCAGAAACACACAAATCCTCGTGGGGAAAAAAATGCTAAGCAGATCTAAATTTATCTGAGAAGAAATTGCTGCAGACACACACAGTGAACATAGATCTAGCAGTACAGAACGATACTAATATAGTAAAAATAATTTTACGAGATTAAGAAATTATACCTCCGGCTCGTCTTCACCGTCGACCTCTTCGTCGTCGTCGTCGTCGTCGTCGTCGTCGTCGTCATCGTCATCGTCCCCGTCGTCGTCGTCGGCCTCCCCGTCGTCGTCGTCGTCATCTTCGTCGGAGATCTCTACAACCCCTGCCGCCTCCTTCTCCTCCCCCTCCACCTCCTCCTCCTCGTCTTCCTCTCCGCCTTCCCCATCGTCGTCCTCGTCACCGTCATCCTCCCCATCGACCGCCTCCTCCCCATCTTCCTCCTCCCCGTCCACCACCTCCTCCACCTCAACCTCCTCAGCCGCTTTCTTGGCCGCCGCTGCCTTCTTAATCTCCGCCGCTCGCTCGTCCGCCTCCACCTCCACTGCCGGCTTCATCTCGACGAAATCGGATCTGATTGGATTGGTGCTTCGTGGAGGAAAATTGAGGGCAAATTTTGGGCGAATTTGTAAGCGGCCGAGACGAACAGGGGGCGGGGGAGGACTGGGTTTCAGCAGATGGGCTGCGGACCATCCTGGCCGTCCGTGACAAGAACAGGCACGCGGATCGGTGACGTGGCGAACGATCCAACGGCTGCCGAGGCTTTGTTCCTGGCTGGTGCGGAGTCGGGACGGGTCGGGTCGGGAGAACGGCTAGGGCTGATGTCAGCGAAAAAGAATACAGCCTTTATTTTGCGGTCCTGGTCCTTGTTGTAGGAGTATTCCGTATGCGGGCCGGGCAGCATACAGTACTTGTACTACTCTCAAAATATGGGCCTGCCAATATCCTTCCTTATATTTGTCATTTGTTCCTAAAGCATTTTGCGGCTGCTCATAAATCTTTTTCTCAGCCCGAGTTCAGCGTAAAATATTTATTTTAGTTGTTTTACACTGTAAATTCCTCTTTCAGCCTGGCCAAGCCCGGATCGGGCCTAAAAAAAATGGGCCTGACTCGCCCAATGGAGAACAAGCGTGAGGATGTGGACCCTGGTGCTGACGTGGTCATGTGGAAGCCGAGATTGCATGGAGGAGCACGAGAAGGCCCTGTCAGTGGCAAGGAGCACGAGCGGCGGGGCAAAGAAGGAGTTAGATGACTACGCAGAGCACGAGCGATGGGGCGGAGGAGGAACACGACGACATCAGGGACCTTGGGAGCAACCGTCCGGAGAAGAAGAAGTGCATGCGTGATGGTAAAAAGTTGCTCGCAGTCCATTATGAGGAAAAGCCCCTTTCACATTGTATTTAGGAATCTCGCTTAGCCGTGTGTGGTGGGAATAGATTGAGAAGTGTCGCGTTGTGGCCTAAATGGCTTTTATCCCTCTAGAATCGGACACAAAAGCTATCCTAGGCAGGGCCATAGGTTTTTCTTATGATGTTCCACCCGAGTTCAAGCACATGACTTGACATGAGTGCTATTATTTTCCTATATTTATTTCGAGGTATAATGGCACCGGTAAATGAGTGCATGTAGGTTGCAATGGAATAATTTTATTATGAATGTTCTCAATCAACAACATTTCATTTAAATTTGCGGTGGTCCTTTTGGTGCAATTAGTGTATTCGTTCACTACTGGCCTAACATAAAAAAGAAATCAAATATTGTTCGTAATGAATACAAGAAAGGCACTACCATTGGTTGATTTCAGAGCATAATGAAGCATGTATAACTTAAATGTCTGATACAAACATATTCCAATATGACTGTACATGTAAACAGAGAATTTTTCGCATGTGCATCTTGTCATGGTAACCATGTACAAAGACAATACGATATGATCAAGTACGGCCCCTATGGTTAATAAGCAATCATACATGTGTTTTGACTTTTAGCAGATCAAATGGGAGAGAGCAGGTTAAGGGCACATTCGTTTCACACGGAATGGAGCCAGGAACGTTGATACATTTTATACGGCCAACCATCATTCTGGCTGGGAATCAGCCTAAATGAACAGGCCCTAATTGAAGTTGCGTAACCAATCGAAGGTATATATACCATCTTCTCAGAAAATGTTTAGTACACGTTAACATTTTTTTTTTTGCTATATAGTTCAGAGTCATTCAGAGAATCAAACAAATGAGTCATCCATGGTGACAGCGGGCCCTCAAGAACTTGCAGGTAGCTGAAGCTCTGAATTTGCAGACGAGAGTTGCATGGCCGAGCTGCCCGGCTTCAGCTTGTGGATCGTGCGTGGGTCGTGGAACCGCAATGCCGCCACACAACACAACGTGGACGGCAGGGTGCACGAGGCGCCGGTGTGCCGTCCAAGTCGAACCATGGCCATGGGCCGTCTGATGTATCACATCATTAGTGGGCTGGGCTCATAATCTAGCTACCTGCAGCCGATTTGATCAAAATCCCAGTTCCTGCTTTGCACCCTGGGCTGGGCTGGGCTGGGGTGCCCACCGACCGCATGTCAGGTGGGATATTTTGCTGCGCTGTCGGCCTTGTATTTTGACGGCCACATATAGGGCTACAGAGATCCTCACGTCGGTGGATCAACATCACGGTCTCATCCCAGCGAGATGCACGCGCCTCTCTATCTCTAGGGTTTGAAGCATTCAATTTGGCGTGAATTTGTGAGCGTCTTCCCGGCCCCCTGCCCTTCTTCTCCGGCGACCTCGCCGGTGACGAGGATAGGTGGGCTGGTTCCCTTTCTTTCTAGTAGTTTCCTTTAGTGGAATAAGTGGCCCGGATGGGTGTTTTGAGGACCTCCGTCCTCCTCATCTTCGTCGTTTTGGTGGCGGGCAGGCTCCTCGCGGTCATGGTGGCCGCCAGAAGTCTCCTCCAAATCGATGAAGTGAGTCCTTCAATAAAGCCCTCTTCTACTCCTGTGCTTCTTCCTGGGTTGCTCTATGGCTGTGCAGGCGGCATGGTCACCTGCGTCAACAACGTCAACATCAAAGGCGGTTCAGGGAGTCACGGCGGCCGGCCTCCAAGCGATGAGTGTCCTGTTCGTCAAGCTGTTTGTGCTGTTCGCACCAGGGGCGGATCCAAAGGGGGGGCTCCAGCCCCTCCTAATGGCTTAATTTCACCACTAATCACTGTAGCAAAAGCTTAATTTCACTATTAAATCTTCGTGTAAATCAACATCTCCATTGTTTTAGCCCCCTTATTCCGCATCGTGTATCCGCCACTGGTTCGCCCTGCGCAGGCGGCGCGGTGTGGATGGACCTCCGCTGGGGTAAGCACGGGCGATGCAGGCTGCAGCGGCGGCCCCGTGCTCAAATCCTGAGGCCACGCAACGGCAGCGCGAGGTTGCCTTCCCCGAGCTCTTCTGGCGGCGCGGCGCGGAGGGCCCTCTGCTGGGGAAAGCGCGGGTGTTGCAGCCTTCTGCGGCGGCCCCGTGACCATTTTCTCCGGCTGTGCAATGGCAACGCGCCTTCTCCGAGCTCATCGCGAATCAAGTGGAAGAAGGAACGACGACGCCACGGCGGCTTTCCAGACGCCCCTTCGGTGTTCCTGCGCTCCATGGTGGGGCCCGCGTCCTGCGCCGTGGGACCTGCAACCGCTTCGTGGCTGGCATCGTGTCCTGCATGCACGGGCCTCTGGTGTCCTTCTCTCCCTCACGGTGACACGCGCCATCCAGGACATCCTCGTGTCCACTTTCAGGACCTTTCATTTTGGATGGCGTGGTGCGCATGCAGGACAAGTATCTGTGCCTACTTTTTTATGGTTGCTGTGTGACGCATACAGAGCTTTGTTTCGTTCAATTTCGATATGTTTTTCAGTGTTTATCTAGACGTGGTAAAGCAGCTATTTGTGTTAAGTTGACCATCAACGTCAGTTGATGCAGATCTTTAGATTTGGCATTAGTGGCTGTAGATCTTTTTTTTAGCCCGGTGAAGCCTCCTCCTATCTACGGCTCATGACTAGACTGAGGCCGATCAAACCGTCAAGGGAAGTGTCGATTGTATTATTAGAGTGCGGGAACGAGGACCTTGATGTTTCTATCGTGGCCACTTCTCGTGGGCCCTTTGGCCTAGACGGGTTCTCACGTCTCTGATGGAAGCATCAGCTCTGTCTACAGAAACAGATCAGCAATAGCTTTTACTTGTTTGAGCTCTATAATTTGAGAATTTTTTTCTACACTCGTGTACTGTGCTTTAATGTTATATATTAAAAGTTGTTGAAAAAAAAAAATTTGGCGTGAATTTGCTTTATGCCCCTCCACGAAGGTTTCGTTCGGCTCCGGGTCCATCGGCAAGAAAAAGGACGAAACAGCGCAGGCCCACAGGCGCGCGGGCGCAGCATATTCCGCCCGCATCTCACGTGTCGTCCTCCCAACAATATCATTTTTAGTTTAAAAAAGCAATATCAATTTTTAGTTAAAAAAATATCAATTTTTTTTTTTTTTTGTAGTTTTTTTTAATATTGATGAGGATGAGGACAATCGTTTCGTCAGATTTCAGCTGAATTATTCCACCAGTTGTTTCTGAAACTCCTAACCTATCGAAGTTTTCCAACGCTTACGTATACTTTTTTTTTAATTTAGTAATAAAGCTCGCCAATAAACTTGATTTTTTTTCAGTTTTACTACACTATGTTGGGACTACATACAGCCCGATCGGTTTGAAATTTGGCTGGTAATAAATTTTGGCCCCTTCTCACATGAGATATTATTCACGTGAATCACCAAGTGATCTTTTCTCTTCATAAACGAACCAAAGAATTATACGAACCAAATAACCAACCGAACATGCTGATAAAAAGTTAGCATTCACTAATTGATTATTACAAGTTTTTGAGTTATAGAAGATTATTATATACAAACATAAGAGGACAAGGGTATTATCATAATTTTTATTAAGACAAATAATGTATATGTTGGTTCGCATGCCTAGATGTCAAGTATTCGAAAAATAGAAATTGGAAAGTAATGTTGTTACGTTACTAAGCTGCTAGGCACACAGTATTAATTAAGAAGCATGAAGAATCAGTGTGTTAGTGCACGGTTACTCTGAGTTGCTTAATAGAAAAGGTTAACCATGTCAGAAAGTTCAGTTTGCTCTGCCTTTTAAGTTTTAACTAAAACTGTTGTAACTGGGAAATAGTTGTTAATCAAATATTAACTGCTCGAAAATATCCCTTTAATGATATATGGCAGATGGTTTGTGTTTATAATAATGTGATTCATCACAGTGCTACCTACGCACATTCTGTTAACTAAAACAAGGCAGTCCGGATAAAAAAACACTCCTAGCTAGTCCTAGGTGGGAGAAACAACAAGCAACATGCTTCACTTAATTTACAACTGTTTTGGAACTATTTGGCCGTATCATTTTGTGAAGGCTGAATTACTACTCCTATCAAATAGCTCAACCACTGACTTCTGTTCGTAATTTTGACACCACGTTGGTCCGCTTTTGTTCAATCGTTTTCATCCTACCATAATAAGTAGATGTATCTCCAATTCATATTCTCTTCAACCATTTTCATCCTACCATAAGTAACCTAACCTGACAAGTACTAGATTTGATATTTGATCTATATATATAAGCCCGACACTAACACTTTTTTTTTTATTGGAGTCCGACACTAATAGTTACGGAGTAGCTTCGATAGGTCCGACACTGGGCGATTTTTTAAGCATGTCACTGGGCCTCATGGGTCGAACAACCTAGTGTAAGTGCAACATTTGTAGCCCGGTTCATCAAGGTCCAAAATTGGGCCTAGCCCTTGGCGCCAGTTGCTCAGCGTGCCATTTAGGTCAGACCAGCCCACTATTTTCTCATGGGAAAAAGTCTAGGGCCACTAGGACCATGGCCCTGGCACATGTTTTCTATATTGTAGCAGGCTGTTTCAAAAAGGCCCAATCCATCGTGCAAAATCATCCCATGAACAGGCCCTAGACGTTAGGCTAGTCTAGCTTTGCTACTCCCCCCCTCCCAAATTTTGTGGTTGATCGATTTAAACCTCCCCCCTCATCTATAAAATTATTATTTTTATCCCATTTAACTATTAAAACTATTTGTTTTTGTACACTTCGTAGATTTGATGGTGTTTTGCTGATGTGGCGCTACGACAGAGGAGATAAACCGTACTAAGTTGAAAGTCCAGAAGGTAAATCAAACTAGAAATATTTGTAGGAAATATCCAAAAATCCATAAAAATTTTTCAAAAAGTTGTCCAAATATTTTATATGGAAAATAATGCAATTAAAAATCCCAAAATTTAGTTTAACTTAGAAATTCATCAAAATTTTGTTTTAACTTGGAAAATTATTAAACTAGTTTTATTTTTTCCCCATAATCATGCTCTATCTTATGGTGCCTAGCTTGAAATTGTTTGAATCTCTATGGACTCATTTTGGTGCTTATTTGCTAGTAGAAGCTCTTCTTATCTATTATAATTACTTGATGTGAATTGTTCGAACTACGTAAAAACGTACGTGGAGTGTCGTTAGGACCATAGTGGACGCTGGTCCCTTACCCTAGATAAAATTTCAAAGTAGTTGTGTGCAAGAGGAGGAGGAGGAGGAGGAGGAGGAGGCGGTTGCAGAGGAGGGAGGTAGGGGCAGATGCAGGATGTGGGCAGAGGAGTAGGGTGCGGTGACCGAGGAGGGATTGGGGGGTAGGGGTGTGTGCAGCACCACCGGGTTGCGGTGGAGGAAGAGGTGTGTGACGGTTGTTGATCCGGATCACAGCAGAGAAGGCGGTGGGCATGTGTAAGAGGAGAGGGTCTAATAGGAGAAGGTGGGGAGGCGACAGTGTTTGTGGATAAGGGAGAGAGTTAAGAGAGAGGTCCTTCTTCTTCTTCTTCTTCTCTTCTCGGTTCGTATGTTTTCTTTTGTAAATATTCCCTTTTTTTTCTAGCCATTAGGTACTTTGGCCCTTCTGTTTCATATAATAAGAAAAAGTGGACACAAGCTAAGGGAACGAACCAAAATACTTATTAGTTTGCCCAGTAGCAAATAAACCATTCCTTATTGTCCCATTCGTCCCCAGCTAGTTAAAAGCTGTAAGGAGCCAGGTAGACACGTATGTAGGGTTGGCATCACACATCACATGCATCTAAAACGCTTACACTTGCTCCCTTATCAAAATACACACATGTTCACACGCAAGCACACACACTTACTCGCTCAATTGGTCTATAAATACCACCGAAGAGAACCATCCCAAACACACACTTACGAGAGCCTACTAGCTAGTTAGCAGCAGCTCGATCAGAAGACACTTTATCCCTTGAAGAGCTATAGCTAGCTATCTGATCGGTAGCAATGGCGTCCAAGCAGCTTATTTCCCTGTTCGTCGCCCTGACCATCCTCTCCACTTCCCTGGCCCTGGTGCATGGCTGCAAGCCGTACTGTCCTACTCCGCCGGTGGTGCCGCCGCCGCCGCCGCCGCCGTCTGGCGGTGGCGGCGGGTCGTGCCCGATCAACGCGCTGAAGCTGGAGGTGTGTGCCAACGTGCTGAACCTACTGAAGCTCAACATCCCCCCGAAGAACGACCAGTGCTGTCCGCTGCTGGAGGGCCTGGTCGACCTGGACGCCGCTGTCTGCCTCTGCACCGCCATCAAGGCCAACATCCTGGGCATCAACCTCAACGTGCCCGTCGACCTCAGTCTCCTCCTCAACCACTGCGGCAAGATCTGCCCTGCCGACTTCACCTGCCCCGTTTAATTTAATTAAAATGCATGCATCATGATGGTTTGCTTTGATCGCTCATACTTATACTAGCTATATGTGTGTGTGTGTGTGTGTCGTCGTTCGTTGTTTCTCGGCATATAATCTGCATACATGCATGGCCGCATGGGTTACATACCCCACCATAGCTTGTGCATGTGATAGTATATGTCCTTTTTTTATTTTATTTTCTGAGGGTGATGATCTATCGATCATATCGGTAGCGAGCTTGTACCTCGCAAATTGTACGTGTTGTTCTCTTATATTACTACATGCATACAAGCATGTATACTACGTGAAATAAAAGTTTAAACGTACAAGCTGTGCTAAATTGATGGGTATCTCGATCGACCTGAGCTGTGAATATAATAATGGTCGGAATGACACATTGCGACGATGATGAGGGCGAATCGTGTATAAACACCAAACATGCATGCAGCGTCATGTACATGGAGATGGAGGCCGCCAATGCAAGTTCATACAAAATAGCCCTCAACACGTACACATTATATATATACTGAAGAAGAAAAGAGACGCCCTATTTTTGCTTTGTGTATCAGTAGCGACCTTGTACCTCGCAACATCGAGCTAGCAATCCATGTGACTAAAGACGATATGGATGATCGAGAAGCTTGAATTTTTACGGGGAAATAATGCCCACAAACATATATATATATATATATATATATATATATATATATATATATTAATTTCTATATATACACATATAGTCCAATTAAATTAACTGAGCCTAACTCTAGATGACAGAACCGAGTACTCCCTCTATCCCAAGATAATTCAATTTCCAGAGTTATTCTAAAGCAAAATATTTTAAGTTTAACCAAA